TTTTTTTTTTTTTTTTTTTTGCTTAAAGTAATCTCTACACCCAGTGTAGGGCTCCAACTCACAGCCCCAAGATCAAGAGTCGCATGTTCCATTGACTGAGCCAGCCAGGTGCCCCTGGGCTGCCTTTTTTGTCAGTACACTGGGCTCAGCAAAGAACAAATAAAAATATACTGCCATCTATAGCTAAGAGCTCAAACTCTGACCTATTTTACCGGAAGTGCTGATGCCATCTCCACTCATTCTCCTAGTCTAACTTATGCCAGGTGAGGCCTTTTACTGGAACACTGCTTGGGTGTAAAATACACGGAAATGAGATGGAAATTTTTCCCCCTCTGTATTAAGCTAACTGGCCCACATGGAAACCAAACTGTAACTGTGGTTTCAGTAATTCTGTGTTCTAATAAGTTGAATCCACAAGGTACAAAAAACTATTACCAGAACATTGACTGATGCCAGTATGGCTTAGCAGCTCCAGTCATATTTTCTCCGGCCAATCTTCCACTCACAACAGCATGATCATGGTGCTCTACCCGCCTCCTACCCAACTTTATATCATAGAAGCATGCGGCATCTCCTGCCTTTGGAGACAAATACATTACATGAGGACACGATAAAAAAGCAAATTGAAGACAGAACATACTTTTGGGGGCTCAATAAAACCTTGTGCTGTTACCTAATGTTTTCCATTTATAGGCCAGAATCACACCTACACTATTAAAAAAAAACAGTTGAGATTCCATTTTTAAAAAAGTATTCTAGGCTAAAAAAAAAAAAAAAAAACCGAATCAAAAAACGAATCTGTGCTTCCACAAAGCTAACCTAAATCTTCTATGCTCCAGCTCACACTGATTTCTTTTCTTATTCTGCCCTTAGCAGAGACCAAATATTTAATAGCCATGGTTTGCAGAATATGCTTTCCTATGCCTGGAAACCAGTTTTTAGGTGTGACTGCCTCTTACCTAGAAATCTTTTCCAAGGTAAGGTTTTATTTTGGTCATGCGGCCTCAGTTCCTTCATTCACCAAATGTTTCCGGAGAACTTATTCCTGTACAAAGCATTATCCTGTCTGGGTGGCTGAGACAGACCCGAGCCACACTTTGCTCACAAGGAGGGTGTCACCTAGTTGAGGAAGATGCAGCATCGCCCCTCACCACAGCACGGTGCAAATGAGTGTGGTGCCAGGTGAGAGGTACAGACTGAGTGAGCTCAGTGTTCCAAGCAGAGAGAGGGCCTCCGGCTGGAAGTGAACAAGGCCACCTTCACTCAACATGTGGCACGTGAGTGCTCTAACCCTTTGTTCATCTTTGTGGCTATTCAGACTCCCCCAAAGCAACCTAAAAATCCAACATGTGAGCAATGGTGAAGTGGATGATGAAATCCACTTGGTGGACTATTATATAGTCATTAGACTTCAGATTCTGAAGCAACATGGAAAATACGTTAGAAGGGAAAGTGAGAAAGAGGAGAATACAAGTGTTCATATAAAGCACACTCACCATGACCATCTACAACAAAGGAAAAAAATCTGATGCACAAGAAAACGAAGGGAAGGAAATACACCAAAATACTGGTGCTTGCTATAGGTGATTTTCCCACCTTCCCCCTTCTTGTCTGTGTCTTCCATATTGAGTGCAGATTGCTTTTATAACAAGTTTTTAAAAATCCAGTACACTTTATCTTTAAAAAAAAAAAGCTTTAAGGGAAAAACACCCTTCAAAGTTCCTATGGCCTTAGTTGCAGAGTCCATAATCAAACACAATACACTCGTAATGATCTAACAATGGGGAAATTACCTCATGGTTCCTACACACTATAGTCTTGTTTGTGTCATAACAGATTTTTTTAAGACAGCTAAAAATAGTGCTCAAGGATAATGAAAATGGAGTAATTTTCCTTTCCAGAATGTTTTAAAACTGCCTCATCCTCCATTCCCTGGACTCACGTTGGGGCAAAGGGAACAGAAGATCAATGTGAAAGCTGGGCATGAGCACATCCGGGTAATGCCGGAGGCTGCAGCCAACTGGAGAATGGGAAGAACTGTCTTTCTGCAGGCATGTACACTGTTCATTTCTTTTTCTACCGGCTTGTGGCGTGAGGTCATACCTGATCTCCTAAGTCAAGTAGTTACATTCCTGTTCTTTACCCTGGGCTTTACACCCCGGCTCTGTTGAGGTAAGAAAGTTCGGTGAGCTTCTGCACACTGCCAGGCAGACCTGCTCACAGGCTGGGGACAAGGAACCATGCCTGCTCGTGCTGTAGCACACTTACCACCCAGATGTTAGAGCGTGCTTGGAGCTCTGCATTTACCCGGAAGCCACCAAAATCAGAGTCTATCTCTAGTCCACCAGTCTTGGCCAACTCAACATTGGGCTCCAGGCCCACAGCTGCCACTATGTGGTCAGTTTCTACCTGAGGAAAAAAAGAAATACTTCAGCCAATTACCACGGTTTCCATGTATGCCTATGGACATAGCAACTGCACATTGTTCTACTCAGAACTGGAGACTTAAAAAAAAAATCACTGGTTAACTTAGGTAACTCTGGTAAATAGATTTAAACTTCTACTTCATAAAGTTCCCTCAAACACAAATAAACCCCACATTATCAGAACAGAAATCTGCCACCCTTGTGAGGTCTCAAAAATCTGTTACAGACAGGAGGGGGCTATGGGAAAATGGCTCACAGGTGTCTACTCTGGCTCTCATCATTCTTACTTATTTTTTATTTTTTTTATTAAAAAAAATTTTTTTTAACATTTATTTATTTTTGAGACAGAGAGAGACAGAGCATGAACTGGGGAGGGTCAGAGAGAGAGGGAGACACAGAATCTGAAACAGGCTCCAGGCTCTGAGCAGTCAGCACAGAGCCCGACGCGGGGCTCCAACTCACGGACCGTGAGATCGTGACCTGAGCCGAAGTCGGACGCTTAACCGACTGAGCCACCCAGGCGCCCTATTTCTTTTTTTTATTTTTAAAAAGGCCTCTTTTTTAAAGTTTATTTATTTATTTTGAGAGAGATTGTGTGTGCATGCAAGCAGGGGAGGGGCAGAGAGAGGGAGAGACAGAATCCCAAGCAGGCTCCACATTGTCAGCACAGAGCTCAACATGGGATTTGAACTCACAAAGTGTGTCATCATGAGCAGAGCCATGATCAAGAGTTGGGAGGCTTAACGAACTGAGCCACCCAGGCATCCCTCATCATTCTTATGTTAATGGATGGAAAGTTCATTCAGAAAACTATGACAGGTGAATGGTGGCTGCCCCGAAAACTACTGCTATCAAATGAAGGAGTAAGAATAAGGCAAGGCAGGGGGCAGAGCTGGAAGATCTGGCAGCCCATCTTCCCCTCCTTACCTTCCTGCCGTCTTTCAACTTGATGAGTAACTTGCCACCGCTGACTCCAACTGACTGCACAATAGCATTGGGAAGCACCTTAACCCCCTCTGTGAAGGCAAATGAGACCTGAGGCTGAGTCTGTGAGCGTACCACCTTCACGACAAGTAGAGAAGATGACTAAAGCATCTGCTATCATAAAACCGGTAATCATCAGTATGCAGGCAGCCTTGGAGACCCCACACCCACAGTTCACTTTCAGTACTTCCAGAAATTTGGTGCATCAGATTCAGAACACCTACGTGAACTTGGATGACTGGAGAATGGTGGAAATACTTCATCTGTCAGGTGATATGGTGTATGTCAAGGGGGTTCCCAAAGAAGCTAACTTTGCTTTAGGCCTAACTCAAAGGAAAGAGTAGCAGCATATGGAAGGAGTCTCCCTACCTCGTCTGACTTTTTCCATGGTCCAGTTGCTGAGGTATTCAGGGAGGATCTTTCCCATGTTTCCTTTCTCAGGGAAGAGTTGAATTACTTCTGTACCCAAAGCTCGAGCTGGGAAGAAGAAACAGAGTGTACAGTGGGAGGTGAAAGCCAATCCTGGAAAGACTGGAAGAGAAGTAAAGGAGCAGCAGGTAGCCATTCACTATATGCCGGGCGATGCTGCGACCCAGGCCAGAGCTCCTATCTGTGGGTCACTGGGGCACGAGGGCACTGACAAGGCAAATATAACAGGCGCCAGAACTGCCATCCCTGGATTCATCTATAAGCGAATTAAGTGCACTTACACCCAGGCATCACCTCAGACTTACACAGGTGCCTTACGACCTTTCAACAGTAAGCACCCTCCTGAGAAGATGCCCTGATTTCACAGAGCTGAAAACTAACATTAAGAAAAACGGCTGCAATGAAACATTCAAACTGGAACACACAGATCTATCCAACTGGGAACCATTGTGTGTCTGAAGACTGACTTTTACAGGGAATAGCAGTTCAAATATACATACGATTCTGTAGTCTACATTGCACTTACCATCTTAATAACTCACTTTCCTTAATATTTTGTTTCAAAGGAGTCCTGGCTTAGAGGCTAGAGGAAGGGAAGGAAAGCAGTTCTGCTCAGTTGCTCAAATGACAGCTTTTTGTTCACTAAGGGATTCCTCATGAGAACTAAGCTCAGTGCTTAGCTTTACACCATATAAATCATTTTTTTAAGTAAACCTTACCCCCAACATGGGGCTTGAACTCATACCCCAAGATCAAGAGGTGCATGCTCTACTGACTAAGGCAGCCAGGTGCCCCTTACCATATAAATCTTAATCAAACTCTTTCTATTGATCCTGGCAAATGCATCCCTGGAATGTGTGAGAGCCCCAAAAAGCATAGGATATAAGACCAGAGAGAGAAAATCGAGGTCACTGCCTAGTACTCACCCTTTCTGCCAAGAGCGCAGGCTAGTTCGCTACCAAGGAAGCCTCCACCGATTATTGTTATTGAGTTGACTTCCCGGGAAATCTTCTCTAAAGTTCTAAAGTCTCCAATCTGCAGGATCATACCAGTTTAGTCCACTGATTTTCCAAAGATGTATAGGATGATAATACTGATAAGAATTTTCTGCTAAATCTTTGACAATAGTAATTTGCATATAAAATCTTCTTGTATAAAGTGGCTCAATTATAGCCTCTGTTATTTTTATTTTTTTACTGTTTTATTTTATTTTTGAGAGACAGAGAGAGACAGAACACGAGCAGGGGAGGGGCAGAGAGAGAGGGAGACACAGAAACCAAAGCAGGCTCCAGGCTCTGAGCTGTCAGTACAGAGCCTGACGCAAGGCTCGAACCCACAAACCATTAGATCATGATCTGAGCCAAAGTTGGATGGTTAACTGACTGAGCCACCCAGGCACCCCACCTCTGTTATTTGTTTGTTTTGTTTGTTTGTTTATTTAGAGAACGCACGTACGCTAGCGGGGGAGGAGCAGAGAGAGAGGAGAGAGAAAATCCCAAGCAGGCTTTTGCCTATCTATCTATTTCTTTCTTTCTTTCTTTCTCTATCTATCTATCTATCTATCTATCTATCTATCTATCTATTTAGAGAATGCACGCACATTAGCAGGGGAGGAGCAGAGACAGAGGAGAGAGAAAATCCCAAGCAGGCTCTTTGCCATCAGCACTGAGCCCCACATAGGGCGTGAACACACGAACTGTGAGATTATTACCTGAGCCGAAACCCAAGAGTTAGTCTCTTAACCAACTGAGCCACTCAGGTGGCCCAAGCCTCTGATATTGATGTAAATTTCTTTCTCCATTGTAACATTCCTTCTAGTGTCAGTGGTTTTCAACTGGGGGCAGTCTTGCCCTCTCCCCCTCTGTGGACATTTGGAAATTTCTGGAGACATTTTTGGGTGTCAAAACTTGGTGTGAAGAGGTGCTACTTGCAGCTAGTGGGGAGAGGCCAGGGATGCTGCTACATATCCTACAGGCACAGGCAAGCCCCTCACAACAAACAATTATCCAGCCCCAAATGTCCATAGTGCCAAAGACTGATTAACCTTATTCTATCAAGAATTTAAAGGATGATACAAATATTTTCAAATACCCGTAAGAGTGGCTGGAAAATTTCAGCTGTTTTCATGAGTAAAGCAGTGTTAAGAAAAGCCCCCACTTCCTTTTTCACTTAGGTATTCTTTTTTTTTAAACATTTTGTTTATTTTTGAGAGAGACAGAGACAGAGTGCGAGCGGGGGAGGG